GACAGGCAGAGGCGCGCGCGGCGCGGGCTGGCGCAGTCGTCGGCCAGCTCGGCGGGCGCCTCGCGCACGGCGGTGGAGTACTCGTCGGGGTCGAAGCGCTCGCGGCAGTAGGAGGCGCTGTCGCGCACCAGGCGCTCCACGCGCGGGTCCCCGGCCAGCAGGCCCTGCGGCAGCGCGAAGCGCGGCGTGTCGGTGAGCAGCAGGAAGTGCAGCGGCGCCGGGCCCTCGCGGCGCAGCGCCAGCCCCAGCACCACGGTCTTGGAGATGATGCTGACCAGCTTGTAGCAGTGGCCCTCCCGCACCGGGTGCAGGTCGTAGGGGTTGCGCGGCGGCCGGCTGGGCACCAGCACGTTCACGGGGAGCCGCACGCGCTCGATGATGGCACGCACCGTGTGCTCGCCCTCCTGCATCTGCAGCTCCAGCGGGCTGCGCGTGCTGAAGCGGCCCTGGCACTGGAAGGGCAGGCTCAGGCTCTCGTTGGTGCGGTGGTTCATGCAGATGAGGCAGGGCATCTTGCCCTTGACGGGCCTGGCGCCGCCGCCGCCGCCACCCGCGGCCCCCGCACCCCCGGGGCCGCCGCCTCCCACCCCGGCCAGCGCCCCGGCCCGGCCCAGCTTGCGCAGCAGCGTGGTGAAGCGCGAGCGCTCCTTGGTGGTCTTGGCACACAGGATCTCCGCCTGGCCCATGAGCGTGAGCTCGTCGCCCGCATGCAGCGTGAAGTTGTACACCTCGCTGTCCTCGCTGAACTCGCCCGACACCACCTGCGGATCCCAGAGACCGGGTGGGGCTTTAGCCGGTGGCCCAGGCAAAGCCCTCCTTTGAGGCGTGCGCACACCCCCGCGCTCCCCGACCTGGGAGCCTTTCCCAGGCTGAGACCGGATCAAGAGCACCGGACTGCAGGGTCAGGAGACCCACCTTCCCTCCCGGAGAGGCCACGTAGCAGCCGTGCAACCTTAAATGAGCTACTTCTGGGGCCTGAGTTGCCTCGTGTGTTAACTCTTTCTTGGAAGAACTGCAACATGTTGGTGTGCCATACTTTTAAAATATCCAGTAAATGGCAACTTTTATTATCATTGCCTATACGATCTGGGCAGTAACAATACTCCATCTACTCAAGGCTACTATGAAGAGGAATGAACTGGTGGATAAGGGTCTGTAAACAGAAACGAGCCATCCATACACCAGTGGGGGTCTGCCGGGACTGTGTGCCCCCAGCGACCACTCTTCCTACCGAAGGGACGGGCTGCCCTGAGGATCTCCAAGTCAGGGCAGGACCCTCCACACACACTTCACCACCTATTCCAGGAAGTTCTGCAGGCCAGTGGGTCATACACCTGGCTCTTCTGACATGGCCCAAGGCCCTCAAGGGGCACTGTGACACCTTCTGCCTCCTGGACCCTAAGGACAACCCTCCAACCAGCGTGGGGACACCAGGCCTGGTGTGGCAAGGACTGACCTTGACACTGAAGGTGATAGCTTCCATCACAAAGATGCGGTCAGGGAAGACGCTGGCCACCTCTTCCACGCTGCTGAAGTACCTCACCGGCTCCCGCACGTCCCGGGCCTGCTCCAGGAGCTTGAACTTCCCTACGAAGGACGAACACAGGCTGCTAGGGCACGCCTGCCCGCCGGTCCCCCCTTTTTGCTCCCCTCGCGTCAGCCAGCCCCTCTGGAACCGAGACTGCAGAAAGGCAGGTTTGCACAGCCTGAGGTGGAAGGGGCCAGGCAGCTGGCTCAAGGGGGGGGCAGGTGAGCACAGACCTAGCAACCAGAACCCCATGGAGAGCTTGTGGGTGGGTGAGGAGGTCCGCAGCCGCCTGCCCAGAGAAATCCGAATGCACATTGGCAGCCAAACGCTTGCAGACAAAACTGGCCTGCAACCATCAGTGTCGCACTGGAGATGCTGGCTCCTGGCTTCGTCCCAGCCCCACTCTGACTTGCCGTGACCTTCCCCTCTCGGGGTCCTCGTTGGAGGGCAATGGAGCAGACGATCTGGGGTCCTGTGTGGATCGGGCATCCGACGCACGTACCTCGGGTTGCCGATCCATACCGATGCACCTGGCACCGGGCCTTGGAGACCCCAGGAGGGCTGCTCAGACTCCAGCTCTGTTCCCAGACCCTGCCCTGGTCCAACATTCAGCCCCTGGTGCAATATCCCAGAGGCCTCTGACCTGAGCCCGACAAAACCGCCTCCCCCTCCCTCCCTCGACAAGGCCTTCCTAACCTGCGGTCGGGGGCTGTTTTAAGCTGGCCCGGCAGATGCCCCCAGCAGGCACAGACTTTAAAAGAATGAGGAGAATCCATGAAGCTGACCCCCTTGTATAAACTGTCTCACCTCACCGGTCACATACACCCTTTATGTGCCCTGAGACAGAGGGTACAAGCCTAGATGACCCAGACAGAGTTGGTGCGACACAAAGCACCCAATGACGGCAGGATGGGACAGCTGCTACAACAGACTCGTGACTGAAGAGCCAAAGACCCGCCTGACGGTCCGAGGGGATCTTAAGAATGAAAAGAGTTTTACAGGGGCGCCTAGGTGGCTCAGTCAGTTAGGCGACCGTCTCTTGATTTCGGCTCAAGTCATGATCTCATAGTGGTGAGATCGGGCCCCACACCAGGTTCCACACTGTGGAGCCTGCTTAGGATTCTCTCTCTCCCTCTCTCTTGCCCCTCTTCTGCTTGTGCTCTCTCTCTCTCTCTAAATAAAAAAATAAACATTAAAAAAAAAGTTTTATAGAACAGACAGTCCACATGGAAGAAATAGCACGGACAAGACAGGGTCACCGGGGCGGCTTAGTCGGGTAAGGCTCAGGTCATGATCTCGCGGTTCGGGAGTTCGAGCCCCACGTCGGGCTCCGTGCTGATGGTGTGGAGCCTGCTTGGGATTCTCTCTCCCTCTCTCTCTGCCCCTCCTCTGCTCTCTCTCTCTCTCTAAATAAATAAATAAACTTAAAAAAATTTTTTAAAAACAGGAGTCACGAGAGCAGATTGCCTACCCGAAATGGTGAGTGCCTGTGTCCAGGACTTGAGGAAAGTGCCAACGGCATGTGAAGCAGTAACCAGGTTACGAAAGGCCCTAAATGCCAGGTTAAGGCAGAAAGACTTTGCTCAGGAAGAAATGAGCTTTTGGCTTTCAGCTCAGAGGAAGCCAAGGTGCTATTTTCTCCCATCGTCCTGAATCCGGATTCACCTGACACCAGCCACC